CGCCACTGTAGACGTTCGCGTTGAGTTCGAATGTACGGAAAACGTTACCGGCCGACACCACTGCGTATTGCCTCATTATTCATGACCGAATCATCGAGTACAGTCCTCTGACGAATGTGGTGCGGAAACTTGTGTAANCCCCGTTTTTTTGTTCATGGCCGAGTCATCGCGTACAGTCGTTCGACATTCACAAAATACGGATTAAAAACAACGCCATCCCGCACGACGGTACCGCAGAGTCATTCAGATCCCACCCGAACACGCATCATCATCAAACGTGATAGTCTTCGTCGACCTCCGGGCTCCAAAGCTTCGTAGTCCATAACGTAAAGAAACAACACTTCATATTATTACACAAGAGCGACAGAGGAAGAGATAGCAGTCGTGCTGCTGCTGCCTGACCATACATCTACAAAAAAAAAAAAAAACTGACTGCGTTCACGCACGATGTCAACCGTACCTGTCTTCGTCGACCTGTAAGGTTTCATCGTCGGTGAAAGATTCATCGTAAAAGAGGCGACCGTGCTGCGAGACAAACATGTCTTAACGCATCATTTTTTCAAAGCACCGATGTCCTGGGATCTACTGACAAGAGCCGAAAAATCGCAAGCGTGCTGGCTGACAGCCAATCATCACGGACTGCAGTGGAAGGATGGAGACGTCCCATACCTGCGCTCTAAACAACTGATACGACGCGCTATATGTGACGGATTGGCGGACGGTGTAAAGATCTACGTTAAAGGGTACGAGAAGAAGAAGTGGCTCGAGGAAATTCTCGACGACAACACCCGCTGTGTCACGTCCATAGATGTGGATTACGAGGACATCGAGTCGCTGGTATATTTGAGCGCGGACACTGTATTTCGATGCAGACGTCACACTACGCACTGCGCAATAACGAACGTTATCAAATTGCGCGATTGGTGGATCGAACGGGAAACGGCTCTCGAAACATGTTTGTAACACATAATATTACTATTTGTTTCATTGCAACGTCTCGAAACATGTTTGTAACACATATATTAATTATACCCTATGCACTGATACATGTGTAGTATACATATAGTACGTACACATTCGTCATAGTATCTGTGAACCATATTTTACTTCCACAATATAACAATATAGCAATATATACTAGTGTAAATAAACGTGTCATCTTCTTTTTCCTTATCGCCTGTCCTCATCCTCGGAATATCTTTGCGGTTGCGGTTACAGTTGCGTCTGTCGCCTAGCTTCCACGCGCATCACCATCATTACCATAATCAGTACGAATGTAATCGTCGTGCTGTACCGACGAAACAAACAAACAAAAACAGACACCACGATCGTGACCTTCGCTGTATTACAACGGTTGCGTGAGGTAAGCAGACTTGTTTTCTCGGCTGCGATACTTTCATGTTGATCCGCTTATTACGCTAGACTATGCAATCTCCGGTTTTTTCTCCCAGCCCTATCGTACACACATACACAGTGATGAAACCTCCGACGGATATCGACGTACTAATAGACGGAGCACGTCCGCAGGATCACGAGGATCGTTATTACCTACTCATGCAGTGCAGCTGTTTCATGCAATCGATCGACGGAGCGCTTTACGTATCACGAGTATACGCATGGCACAAGATGTGCGAAGAGTGTTACCTTGCACGACCCTTTATAAGGGCACTTCCTTACGTCAGGAAACCGGACTACCATTCCATTACCTCACGACTCTACAGACTATCGTGGAATACCAAAATATGTTGTGTGCGTTGCAAACGGGAAGTGGTTCACGTGCAAAGGGCGATACACTGTAGACAGTGTATAGAGGAGTTTTTAGAGAGCGAGGATAATATGAGAATAAGAGACAACGTCAATATGAATTATGAAACGGATACGATAAAGCGGTATTAAACTCTCTCTCTCTCTCTCTCTCTCTCTCTCTCTACTTACTCCTCCATACATACACTATCCAGCTATATGTCTATTTTTCCACCAGTATTTATTCCAGTAGTGTACTTTACCAGTTGTACAAATATATATGTTACATGAAACAAGCATATTCATCGTATTAGTGTTTACTCGCACCATTATCCCGCTATATGTATCTTCTTCCACCAATAGTTATTGCAGTAGTGTACTTTACCAGTTGTACACACATAGTACACATGAAAAACAAAGCATATTCATCGTATTAGTGTTGACTCGGTCTCTTTCTCTCCCTGCGTTCCTAGATGCATCGCCACAATCTGCGTCTGCGTCTGCGTCTGTGCCTTACTTTCATCATACGTCATATTTTGTCTTTCATTTCTGCTCTGATTGATTTCCGACACCCGTATGGAAGCATGCAACTCCGCGTACACCTCATTCAATTTATTTGCGTAATCGTCCACGGGAGTAGACATATCCTGTATGAAGCTCCGAATATCTTTTCTGTAACCAACACAGTGTGTAGTAGTATGCATGTACATTCTATGTACCTTACAACACTATCTACTTACAATGTATATAGCGATTTCTCGTGCACAAGCAAATTAACGTTCATT